GAGAATGCATCCCCAGCCTAGGGGGTGTGCAGCATCCAGGATGGCCTTCACTGATCCTTGCCTCCTGGTGGTCACACTGTCCTGTCACCCCTCCCATCCACTGTGGGCAGGACCTAGTGATTCCCTTCTAATGACCAGAACAGGGAAAAGGTGATGGTTGCCATTTCCAAGATTAGGTTACAGTGTCAGACAAAGAAGGAGAAATATCTTATGACATCCCTGATATGCAGAATCTAAAATGATGAGACAAATGAATTTATCTACAAAACAGAAACCGACTCACAAGCTTAGAGAATGAACTTATGGTTGCCAGGGAGGAAGGATGGAGGAGGAAGAGATAATTAGGAAGTTTGTGATCAGCATGTACACACTTCTATATTTAAAATGGGTAACCAACAAGGACCTGCTATATAGCATAGGGGGAACTCTGCTCAATGTTATGTGGCAGCCTGGATGGGAGGGGTTTGGGTGAGGATGGATACATGGATGTATATGGCTGAGTCCCTTTGCTGTCCATCTCAAACTATCACAACATTGTTAATTGGCTATATATACCCCAATACAAAATAAAAAGTATCTTAAAAAAATTAGGTTACAGAGACAGTAGTCTCCATCTTGTGCACGCCCTCTCTTGCTCTTTCCTGGAGCCCAAGGGGGAAGCAAGCTGCAATTTTTCGAGAAGATCCACAGCTCTATGGCCAAGAGTGGAGGGTGGCTTCAGGGCCCACAGCCAAGGAGGTGTGGAGACTCTCAGTCCACCACAAGAAACTGAATCTTGCTAGGGAGTAGTTGCTCCCCAAGGAGAGCCCTAAGTTGAATGGAGCCCTGGCTGACACCTTGCCAGCAGTCTAGGCAGAAGCCCTGAACCTGAGGCACCCAGCTAGGCCACCCTGGTCTCCTGACCCACAGAAACTGAGAGATAATAAATGCTTATTGTCTCAAGCTTCTGCAATTTGGGGTGATTTGTCACGCAACAATAGATAGTGAATACACTTGTTATCACTACTAGCAACACACACAGAACACACATACCCCCGCAGCCACCATGAGAAGGATTAAAAAAGACCCACTCACCCATATTGGGCAGAGCTGGGAACACCCTCCTCTGCTAATCCAGCCCTTCATTTTGCTTTTGCCGGTGAGGGCACTTAGATGCAGAGACAGAACGACCCTTTCCACAGTTACACACAAGCTAGGAGATTGCTATCCAGGACTCCAGACTCCAGGAATTCACGAGGGTGTTACAGACAAAACGCTCCAGTCTTGAGAATCTACTGTTGCTACCTTATCTGAGTGCCAAGTAGATCTTGTAGATCTTTGAAAAGAGTAATTTTGGCTGGAAGATATTAGTTAAACCTCTTCTACAAATACTAAAAACATAGTCAAGAAAAAAAAAACCCTGAAAAATTCCAATGGATTCAAATATTCAATTTCAAGCAGATATTGAATATAGTGGGGTTTTTAATATAAGGTTTCTGGGTTTTGTTCCTTAAGTCAAATATATCTTGTCATGTCACTTGCTCCTGTGAGCTAAAGGAAGTTTCCTTGGGAATGAAGGGGCACTGTGAATGGGAATTGCGCTGACCCCTGATGTCCCTGACCCCCAGCCTCCTTTTTGTTTCCTTTGGTGGTGCCCTGTTGACCTGAGGTCAGGGTCATGGGGACACTGTCTGGCCTCAGAGTTTATAACTAGAGCAGCCTCCCAACCCTTGGGCTGGGTTGCCAATCCCCACCCCTCCCCCACCCCCCCACTTTGAATTCTCACTATGCCTTTGCTCCTTATGAGTAGTCAGGAGGACTGGAGGAGACAATTCCTTTCTCCTCACCCAAAATCCTCCTTTCCCACTCCCTTACAGAGGCTGGACACGGTGTACCCAGAAGGACAGAGAGAGCCAAACGCAGGCCCAGCTGTCTCCAACATCAATTCTCAGCATCCCCCCAGGGAGGCCAGCAGGTCTTCTGGGAGAAGGCCCAGCTACATAATTTGTGGGTCCCAATGCAAAATGAATGTGTGAGGCCCCTAGTTCAAAACTAATTTAAGAATGTCAAAGTGATGACAAAACCCCAGTGCAAGGCGGCACATTCAGAAGCCAGCCCGGTCTTGGAGTCTTCAATACAAACCACCTTGGAAGTGCCATTCCTGGAAAACGGGCTGTTGTTCCCTGGCTCCTGCATTTCCTGTTGCAGAGTTGAGCAGAAATGTCTCCTGGGCCCAGGACATCCTTATAATCAGAAACATACCTCAAAGAGGAAAAACCTCCCACTCAAGGCAGATGGATGGTTTTCTGGAAGGCTGCAGGCTACTGCTGCTGTCACAGATTTGCCTGCTAGTCGAGTTGTGAACAGGGAGACAGAGAGGCTGAAGTTGACTAGGGGAGGCCTGGGTCATCAGAAAATCCCAGAAAGTGAGGGCAGGTGGGCCCAAATGCCATATGAAGTCCTAGTCCTGAGTGTGGGGGACACACACATACACACACGAGCCAGGCCAAACTTTGCTGAAAGGAGAGCAGCAGAAACTCCCCAGGGTTGGGAACTTGAGAAATAGCTTGGATCATTGAAACGTCAGTAGTAAACACATGCAGACTCTAGAGAGGTTGCACAGGAGACCAGTGAGCACCTGTGGCCAGTGAGCCAAACAGAAACTTCTAGACATACTGACCTCGTTGTTCTTTCTCCTTAGGTTTTAAAAAGTTGCCAATATTTCAAACTTAGGTTTCATATCAAAATTCACATTCCTAGTAGTAATGGAACCTCTGGTAACACTGGAGCCAAATTCCTATATGACAACCATCTACTGCTGCCTCTAACTCTAACCCTAACCCTCTTGTTTGCCACAGTCCCCGCCATGTCTCCCTGACATGGAATCCTAAGTGGCAAGTGCTCATATCTGTGCTTGCGCTGCTGTGTCCTCCTTATGAAGTGAAGAGGGAAGTGAATGTTTCTATGAAAAATGAGCAAAATAGGAGACTGACCAAGAGTTCTATGTACTTGAAGAAATATGGGAAAGAGCGTGTTTCTTTGTAGAAGTGAAGAACCTCCCTATGAGTTTAATATGCAAAGACTTTCTAAGTCTAAATGCCCTATAAAGCAGACCACAGCAGTCCCTGCTGTCCCTCCGCCCTCAGTCATGTCCCTGAAATTATCCGAAACAGTCTCCAGGACCAGATGTCTCCAGAATGACAGACCCTCCCAGCTTCTCCCGTGAGGGCTCAGAGTGATCTTTCTTTTGTTCTGTTCTGCCATTTTTCCCAGCAAAGGCAGAGGACTTGGGGGAGCCCCAGTCCTCTTGTCATGTGGTGTGGGGTCAGTTTCCTTCTCCCAGAGCGGTATGGGCGTTTAACCCCATGGATGGTTTTCTTCCTGAGCTGGGAGCATCACTAAGATTTTATGTACCTGTCCGCTCTCCACTGGGCAGCCGAGGGTCCCATTAGACAAGAGCAGAGGATCTGAGGCAGCCAGACTTGCACTGGCACAGACTGGGGGATGTGGAGGGAGAAATTTGGTTCCCATCGCTGGTTGGAGAGCCACATGCCAGGACCTAGAAGTTCCCAGAGCTCAGGCGTGGGCCAGTGGAATCCATAGGTGACTGAGCCAGGCCTGGAGGAGCTGGGGTGCATGCTGCCTGGAGGGGGAGGCTGAGGACACCAGAGAAAGTGTGTGACTCCTCACCCAGCCAGGTAGCCTCACCTTCCCATGTCTACGGGACCTGCCTCCTGGGGCTGCAAGGAGATAATTAGTCCTTCTAAAGAGTATCATAATTCTCAGATCAAAGCAGGTTCAGAGCTGATGGGTTCACTTTGCAGCGAACTCTGCCAGCCACGGGAGCACCCACTGGAGTGGGCGGGCTTGGATTTGCAGCCCCTTCAGGGTGTCACCTCCTACAGAGCTTGGCTGGGCTAACAACCCATGGCGCAGGGACCCAGACCCTGGTCTCCCCTGGAACCACTTCACCTGCCACATGCCCGCCCCCCACGCCCCCCCACCAAGAGGTGGGTTCATACCTAGCTCTGATGATGGACAGGGTGAGAAGTGCTGATGTCCCATTTTTACAGATGGGGAAGCTGAGACGGAGGATTGAGGTGCAGACATAGGGTCCCCCACCAGTGCTTCCTCACGGGTATGGACGGTATCAATTTTCCTCCCCACTGGCACGACCGTTGAGCTCAGTACTGTGTGCACTTAAAGCAGGACTGGCCGCACAGTCCAGGTGAGTGAAGGAGGTGTCCCAGAGGGCCCACCCCTTTTCCTGCCTGCTTTTTCCGCCCTCTCCCGGCCACTTGCTGGGACTTCAGCTCTCCAGCAAGGCTGTCCCAAGGGTGTCAGAAAAGTAGAGAGGCACATGCAGGCTGGGCTACCTGGATTCAGGCCTGTCACTCCCAAGCCCTGTGACACTGCCCTTCTTTCTAACCCTGAGTTTCTCTAGGAATGACCACGCTGCGAATGTATCAAGTGGCCAGAGCCCGGCGCACAAAGGGGCGTCGCGGCGCTCTGCCGGGCCTCGGGGCGAGTCTGGGCGCCGCGGAGGGGGCGGGGGCGGGGTCGGGGGCGGGGCGAGCGGCGGTGCTCGCCAGCCCGGAAGGAGCGGGAGGAGGAGCCGCGGGAGTGAGAGTCGTTCCCACGTGAGAGACTCGGCGGCCGAATTCCTCGCGTACGGCGGCAGCGGACAGCCGGGCGTCCGGCCGGACGGAGAGCCCTGGTTCGGCGCGCGCGGGCCGCCGGGCGGGCGGCCGGGGCGGCGCTCGGCTGCGCCCAGATGAGGCGACGACCCCGAGGGCTGTGAGCCCGGCGCCCGCCGTAGGAGCCCCCCGCGCCGCCGCGGGCAGCGCCCCCCGGGCACGCGGCATGCGGGCCGCCGACTCTGGCACCTGGGAGCGCGTCCGCCAGCTCGCGGCTCAGGGCGAGCCGGCGCCTTCCTGCGGGGCAGGGGCCGGGCCGGCGCGCCCCCCGGGGCCCACAGTCTGCGAGCCGAGTGCGGACGCGGCGGGATCGAGCGATCGGCCCCGCGCCGGGGCACCCTCAGCTCGAGCGGATGGCGACTGCAGCCAGCTGGGTAGGTGCGCGCCGAGAGGGGAGGGCGGTGCGGCCGCAGGCCCGGGAGCGCCAGACCGGGCGCGCGGGGGCGCTCCCGACCGGGATCCGGCAGCCGCTGGTGACAAAGTTCTCGCCGCACCCGGAGACCCGAGCGCCGGCCGGGGTGCAGGAGGACACGCGCGGGACGCGGAGTTAGTCCTCAGCCTGGGGGTTTCGGGGCTCGGCGGCTTTCCGGCAGAGCCCGGTAGGGAGCTGCCGAGGGAGGTCAAGGCCACGTTAGCCGTGCGATCCCGCGGCGCCGGGAGAGCCGGGTCTGGGCCGGATCCCGCGCCTGTTCTGGGAAGCGTGGGAATGGGGCCAGCCTCCCACTGAGTTGGGGAGGCCCCCTGTGACCAAACCTGTAACCTACCTAGCAACCCCATCAAGTGCCGAAGGGAGCGCTGCCTTCCCGCCGCCCCTCGCAGACGAAAGTGATGACTCGGTTTTGCTAGGAGCGAAGAGATTTCTTCTCTTATGCTTGAACGACTAAGGCAGAAAGAGAAATTGCCGCGGAGGAGACACAAATGCAGTGGTCTAATTATGTATCGTTGGCTAATCCGCCCCAAGCGGAGAACAGCATTTGAGTGTTAAACGTTCAGAGTGGATGCTCCGGTTCCATTCTGTTCCGGCCTCACTGGTCCCTCCCCAGCTCAAGTTAGATCATGGAGGGTGGGGCACAGGAACCCCTGGATCCTCCACACTCTAGGGTAGGAAGCTGGAAGACGAAGGGCTTCCGAAAAGACTGTCATCATCAGTTTGAAGTTCTAATACTTTTTCTAGGAAAAATGGGCGGGGGGGGGGCGGGAAATAGGTGGACCACATGATTATTCATTATTTCTTGAACACCCATGTGTTCCGGTAATTTACTTGCAGTGTCTTAAAATCTTATTACGACCCTGGCAGTGAGGCTGTGTTATCTCCAGGAAGATGAGGTCAGAAAAGGCTGGAGTTTAAGGGACTTGCCCAAGTCCCAAAGCCCTGAAGCCCTGGTACTGGAATTTCAAATTCTGTCTGGTTTGGCACCAAAATGCCTCTCCCAGGCAGCAAGCTTACCAGCTGGGAAACTCCAAGCTTATTTATCTGATAATTCTTTCCTAAAAACAGCCAACTGTAAGGCCTCCTAATTCCAGGCTGCCCATATTGGTTTCCCCAGGAGATGGGATTCCAGAGGTCAGAGTTCTAGCCACAGGAGCTGGGACCACCATCAACTGACTCTGATTAGCTGAGCTGCATTGGTATTCTGGGACAACTGGTGTCTTGGGTCACCAAGGGTCTGGAAGCGGGACACTGAGGCCCGAAAGGAGCTTGAGTCCCTGGGCCTTTGGTTTAGGAGCTGGGCTTGCTGGACCCAATCCCACCTCCTCGAGGCCCTGTTGCACAGAGCAGTTAGAACCCAAGACAACTTGCTGTGAAACAGAACATAGATGCAGAGAATAAATAAATGCGAGGGCTTGGGGAAGTCGTTTGATCTTTCTGAGGCTCAGTTTACCCATCTGTAAAGTGGAGATATTATTAATGTCAGATACATTTTGATCATTCAGAAGCTCATGTCTGCAAAGCACCTTGCCCAGTTCATAGTTGATGCTGATGAATGTAAGTCATCAGCTTTACTTGTGGGTCACCTTTTGATGCCCCTACTGACTCAGTTTTTCTTTAGGACGAACTGTTAATCTGTTCCATCTCCCCTCTCCTGAACTATGTTGAGATGACATCTGTTTTGTCTGTAAAATACTTCTGTGATCCCAAGCTGACTGTTGGGCTAATGGAGGCTGTTATTATGTACACATGTAGAAGAGGGCTGGCTGGAGATAAATCTGTTTACTTTGTGTCTATATAGACTCCACTTGTGTATCATGATAACAACATCCTAGTGACATGGTGTAGCTGAGAAAGCCTGTCTCTGAGGTCTGGGTGTGGCTGTTACTCCAGTGGCCCTCTTGGTGTCCCTTTAGGGCAGAGAGCGGTGGGCATCTCCTTTCCTGATGTATCACTGGTATGAAACAGGATCAAGCCAGCAGCTAAACCAGAAAGTTCTGAGTTCTCTCTACCCCACCACCCTTCACCTTCTTCTGATCTCTGGATCTTAAAGACCAAATGCAGTTTCTGAGAAAGAAAGTCCATGGTAGTTGGGCATGGACACGGGTTCTCAAACAGCCTATCATGGACACGGGTGCTCACACCATTGGCTGTCATGAGGGATTTTCCTCTGGAAGGTCAGTGCGAAGTCTTCAGGCTTAGAACTGCAAGTCAAAATTACTACTGAAATAAGACATTTTAGCCAGGCTGTGAGGTGACTCACTTCAGGATCTTAGAACGATACTCTCCTGCCCAATGCAAAGCTCAGTTTAAGGAACTGCAAGAGTACCCTTCTGGGTGACAGTGTCTGAAAATTGGCACTTTTAGGGGTTTGGGGAAGGGGAACGGGAGAAGGGATGCTCACTTGGTGGGATGGAGGCCTGGCACCTTGACGCTGTTCATGGGTGATATCCTGGGATTGTCAGGGTGACAGACCCTGGGCTGGTGACCTCTGCTGACCCCTGGCCTCCAGGGTGGAGCCGCGTCCAGGAGAGCTTACCATTTGCATGCATACTGCGGACAAGAGCAGGTGGTGCAGAAATGAGACACGGTGCTTGGTCTGCACCCGATGCAGCCCCACATCTGTTTGACCTTGAGATACTCTGTAACTGTTTCCCTGTTGGTGTGGAGGAAGTGACTCCACCAGAGGGAGGCTCCTTCCAGGGTCCCCACAGAGTGTTCAGGTGGTCCCAGAGCCTTCTGAGATGAGAACTTGAATGATTCCCTTCTGATTGTCCCTCTGTTCAGTCACACCTCTTGAGCATCTCTTCCCTCCAGGCACTGTTGTAGCTGCCATGGCTGAAGCAGCAGTGAGAAGACTGCGGCCCTTGTTTCCATGGAGCTTGTATTCTGTGGGAGGAGATTTCCAGTAGGCAAAGACCCACAGGATGTGTCAGGGGATGGTAAAGGCTAGGCAGGAGAGAAAACCAGGTGATAGTGCAATGGGAGTGGGTGGTTTTTAGTATAGGTGGTTAGAAAAGAATGAGGGGAGGTGCATGGGTGCTGAGTTCCTAAGAGGATATTGCTGGTTGACAAAGGAAATCAAGTCTTTTTTTTTTTTAATTTTTGGCCATGCAGCTTATAGGATCTTAGTTCCCCGACAAGAAATCAAACCCAGCCTTTGGCAGTGAGAGCCTGAAGTCGTAACCACTGGACTGCCAGGGAATTCCCAACCAAGTCATTTTTTTTTTTAACTTGTTGGTAAATTAGTATTTTTGTAGACTGGGCACTTATCTGTCCAAATCTGAAGTCTCCCAGGCTTCCTTCTTTGTTAGTCATTTAAGTTCTTATCTTCTCTTGCCCCTCCCCCTCACATAACCCCCTCCCCCCCAGGAGGGCGCCAGGCCCTACGTACCAGTATACTGGCTCCCATCCCTTGCCCTCCCAGGGGCCAGTCTTGCATGCTAAGTTGTTTCAGTCGTGTCTGACTCTTTGCAACCCTATGGACTGTACCCCCCAGGCTCCTGTCCATGGGATTCTCCAGGCAAGAATACTGAAGTGGGTTGCCATTTTCTACTCCAGGGGATCTTCCCAACCGAGGGATCAAACCCACTTTTCTTATGTCTCCTGCATTGGCAGACAGTCCGTTACCACTATCACCACCTTGGACATCCAGGGGCCATGCTTGGTGTTCACTGGATTTTGTCTTCGTTAGTCCTCCAGCAACCCAGGGGTAGATACGGTTGCTAATTCTGTCCACAGATGGGAAAACTGGCGCTCAGAAAATTTGGCTGAGATCTCACAGCTAGTAGGTGTCACAGCCAGGACTTGGCCCCAGGTTGTAAACCTCAGAGCACCTCATTGTGATCTCAAGAAAGTAGACCCACGTTAAGTGTCAGGTCCATTTTTCCTTTAAATTTTTATCTCTTAAAGAAAAGTTTGTCCTCTTCTTGACATTCCTCGGTTTAAGCAACTCAAGCATTTGCTTATCTTTGTGCCTTTAGCAATTTCCTCACTAGGTCAGCTTTGTGTGATCCTTTCTGTAAAGAATTTCTTCTGGGTGAGGGGGAGATTCAATCTCCACACTGGAATTGGGGATGCTCTTTGAAAGTCAGCCACTAGGACCAAGAGGGTTTAGAGTGAGCTTCCTCTGTAATAGGGTGGGAGAGAGATGACCGGGGGCTTGGCTGTTCTGTACACTCAGGAATGAAAGTCACTGCTCTTTGAATGTGTTTTTTCATTGGTTTCGCTCAGGCAGTTTTCTGTGGCCCAGCCCCCTCCACCCTAAGTAACTGTTCAGGGGGAGGAACTGAAAGATCCTTCCAGCAGGGCAGTGGGTACAAGGCACCAGGTTTGGAATCAAATGCAACCTGCTGGTTGAATTCACCAGCTCTGCTGCTTCCTGGCTGTTTGTCTCCAAGCAAGTTACTTAATGTCCTGAGCCGCAGTTTGTGTGTGTGTGTGTTACTCGGTCGTGTCTGGCTCTCTGTGACCCCATGGACTGCAGCCCGCCAGGCTCCTCTGAGCCTCAGTTTACCCATCTCTAAAATGGGATCCTGTTACCTACCTCAGAGTTGTTGGACAGGAATCTGTATGGTTAGCATCCTTCATACCCATGGGGCCTGCTGCTACATATGCCATAAGGGATGGGGGGATTCCCATTTATCCAGAATACAAAGGACTTAAATGTGTGTGTGTATGAAATTTAAAAAAAATTTTTTTGGCCACATCATGCAGGATCTTAAGTTCCCCACTGTTGTTGTCGTGGTTCAGTCACTAAGTTGTGTCTCTTTGTGGTCCCACGGGCTGCAGCACACCCAACTTCCTCGTCCTTCACTATCTCCTGGAGTCTGCTCAAATTCTTATCTGTTGAGTCGAGGATGCTACCTAACCTTCTCATCCTCCGATCAGGGATAAAACTCATGCCCTTTGCAGTGGAAGTGCCGAGTCTTAACCACTGGACTG